CTACTTTTATCTTTGTGTTTGTTAAAATTAAATTACAAACTAGGCTTAGTATTTAACAAAATCAATCCAATATCCATCTATAAACTGTATTATTGTCTCAGCGTAACTATAATTTCCATAATGAAATTCTTGGACAAACTTTTTGACACATTGGTTGCAGTGAGTTCTCAAGCTAGGCAGTTGGCCACAATGTGATCTCGCTGCATTCAATGTGTCAATTGGTACACAACCTATTCCAAAGCTTCCTGCATTCGCCAGGGAAATGCTTGGTCTGTCAGGCTCTGCTGACTGTATCTCATCTCATAACTCTGGGCAGAGTCGTTGGATGTCATTCACGATGGTTGCTGAATGTAAAGGGCCGGAGCTGTATGTTGCTTGCATGTCAACTTTGTGTGGCGGTGGGATTAATATGCTTTGTGTGTGCGCGCACGTCGCGGTCGGCCATTCGGCCGGCCCGTTTCGCGCCTTCTCCCTTCTCTTCTGATTACAGCCATTATTGTTCAACACTCTCCAGGTGCGGTCTGCTCTGGGCGCAGCTCAGCGGAAGAAACTGTCTTTCCGAAATGTCTCCAATGTGGTCGTACAGCTGTTGCATACCATAAAATTTTCGATGGAGGTTCCCTTCTCGAATATGGCGGCAGGCGGGGGTCCAGGAGAGCTGAAAGTGAATGCAGCGCGTAAGGTAAGCCTATTCACCTCGGTTATTCCCTTCAATTTTATTTTTAGAAGTTTGTGTGAGCCTTGTCTTGTATATTACATTATGATTGTTATAATTTTTTTTAAGACATATTTTGAAAAAAAATAATAAATGATGGATTTGAAGATTACCACACACGAGGTTGATTTTCATGCTAGGTGTAAGTTTCTACCCAAGTATGCCCATCATTGGTTCTATTAAGTTTATACAGCCAATAATGGACCAACTTTATCAGAAAATCACATCTGGCCTGAATAGCACGCTTGCGTTTCTGATCTGTGAATCCTGCTTTACAACTGTGCCAAATTGTGGTCCCATGATGGCACAGTTTTATAATTAGTTGTTATTGTTTTCATCAAATATTGACAGATATTTTATCTGATATTTTGTCTGGTCTTTAGGACATAGTTTACATGTATTTACATGATACAGTTGCTACAAGTTGCATGGATTTTTTAGTGATATGACTTTTGTATGTATTGCATGGTGTATTAAGTATGAATATTGTTTCTTTTAGGATGCGGTAAGTGCAGCTTGAATGCCTTCATTATTTCATTTGAGTAATTTTTTTTCAAAGAAGGTAAGTAAGTTTTCAATGAAAACTTCTGCCATGTTAGGTGAGTGGGACCTTATTCTGACTTTTTCAACTATGCAAAAAATCCACTCTTTCTTGTAATTCAGCTACTTTCTTTGAGATATTCCTAATTAATAATAAACCTTGATTTTTTGACTAATTTACCCTAATTTTTCTTCCTTATGTGAGCTGATGATTCAAAAATTGTTTCTACTGCTACTCATATTTGTTTAATTTCAGTCCACCTACCCCCCTTCCCAAGAAACTCAATCCATTTCGATTCCATTTACTTCTTCATGGTAGACAATTGTTGTACTCTCTTAGGATTTTAAATTACTGGTGGCAATATCGCATGTGCAAAGAAACATCATATTGGAAATATTTAACAGTTTTATTTACCTAGATTCAGTAACAATAAGTGTCATCTTAGATTTTTATCTATTTATTTATCTATCTATCAATCAAATTTTGCTAAGTGTAGATTTTTTTTGAAGTTGAGTTGTTGTGTGATGGTGTGGGTGTTTTGTGGCATGCCCGGCTTATAGGTCCTAGACCTGCAGAGGGCCTTACATGCTGACCCCTCTGCTGCGGGAGGTCGAGCGTTCGGAGGCTCCAACACACTTGACCTCAGAGACATTGGTGGAAAGGTTAGTTAGCATGATGCTATCCTGTTCAAAATAAGGGTTAAAAGATAAATGTTTCCTTTCTTACTTTTTATTCTTAAAATTTACAGGAGCGACTTCTATTGTCAGTCTTGCCACAGCACGTTGCTGTGGAAATGAAAAAGGATATAATGAGCCCTATTGAGGGCCAGTTTCATAGAATTTACATTCAGAGGCATGAAAATGTCAGTATTTTATTTGCTGATATTGTTGGTTTCACTGTTTTGGCCTCACAGTGCACAGCTCAGGATTTAGTTCGACTTTTGAATGAATTATTTGGACGATTTGATCAATTAGCCAATGTAAGTATTTGAAGATCACTTTCATCAGTCTTTTGCTTAGATCAGCATGTCTGTATGATTTTCCTCATTTCAGGATAACCATTGTCTTCGGATAAAGATCCTTGGAGACTGTTATTACTGTGTATCTGGTTTACCTGAACCTCGCTCAGACCATGCCCATTGTGCTGTTGAAATGGGCTTAGATATGATTGATGCAATTGCGTAAGTTTTGTTGTTAGATGTTTGTCTTGTATTATACCGTGTATCATGGTTACGACACAACAGTATGTTGCCTACTTGCTCAAACCGTAAGGCGCCATGGCTCCTGCTGTTGTGTTAGCCTGGACACACGGTACTGTTTATTGTGCCTAGTACGTCAAAGCATAGAGTAAAAATGTTTGTATTCCTTTAACCACTCCAGGTCAGTAGTTGAAGCAACTGATGTTCAATTGAATATGCGTGTTGGAATTCACACCGGAAGAGTATTATGTGGTGTATTAGGCTTAAAGAAATGGCAGTATGATGTCTGGTCAAATGATGTAACAATAGCCAATAACATGGAGGCTGGTGGAGAAGCTGGGTACGTTTATAAATCTTCTGTGTTTTAATCGGTTTTAACTGAGATTGAGAGAGAAATTTTAACTCTCTGTTTTACAGACGAGTACACATCACCCAAGCATCACTGGACTGTTTGGCTGGACAATATGAAGTAGAGGATGGCAGAGGAGGAGAAAGAAATCAGTACCTTCATGACAACCAAGTTAAAACATACTTCATTGTACCTCCTGAAAGACGAAAAAAGGTATTGTATCAGTCTTAACTGTTATATCTTTAGTTACTAGGCTTATTTTATCCTGTTTATTCTGCCTATATGTTTCATTTAATTAACATTATTTCCAGTCCCGCTACCTCTAAATTCATTACTTGAAAGCTGTCTGGTCCAACTGGCCTGGACTTTCCCCCCATCCGTCTCCCAACTACCTAATTACCTAAAGAACAGTCTTGCCATTGTCACTCTTGAGTTCTAACTGGGTCATGTAAATTGCATCAACTATTGCATTATGAACTAAAGCCTTAAAGAGAATTTCAAAAATATTCTTGTAAATAAACCATTCTTTATTTGCCTTATTTTATACCTTTTTACCCAGCTTATTTTGTGGTACCCTTGTTTGATATGATGAGTCCTTGATTGATATGATTTGATTTGGTTAGAGTCTACCAGTCCTGTCTTTATGCAAACAGTTACTAATGGGTTTTCTTATATCAGGCTCAAGAGGTCTTCTCTGAAGGTTGATCAGGAAGGATCCATTTTATTGAAGCTATGGCCATAATAGTTGACCGACCGACTCATTGGGCATAAATACTACTGTAGGGATGAAAAAAATTTACAATTTTATGACTATGAGTCACTCAAAAAAGTTATCAAATGTAGGTTCTGATCTGATTGAGAACTGCCCTGAATTATTGAGAGTAGTGCCTTCATTGAAAGAGAAAGTTTGATTATTACCTTGTGTGGGTAGCTAGTTTAATTCTGAGATGAATCTTGGGCATTGTCTTCAGTTCATATTAAATGACTGTAATTTTCCATCAATTCCTTTTCTCAATCTTTGTGTCTGTCGCTATTGTTTGTCTTGTCAGGTTTGGTGCATGACTTACTAGAACTCCCCAATTCATTCCCAATTATCTGTGTTGGCTATTTTAATCCAGCTTATTTTGTTTTTGTGTTTGTCTCATGTGAAATATGTATATCCTCAACCTATCTGCACACTCTGCATGGTACTTTGGGCACACTTCATCTTGGCATGTAGGCAACAGAATCTTGAAGTGGCTTGCAAATGCTCACTTGGTTAAAAGTTTCTCCCATATTTATTTTTTATTTTTTTCAAATGTACCTCATGATATGAAATGTTAATACAAGAATGTCTGTCTAAGTTTTGTATATTTCCATTTTTTAGATTGAAGTAATAATTATTTCCATTTAACTTAACATCTCTACTTTTATCTTTGTGTTTGTTAAAATTAAATTACAAACTAGGCTTAGTATTTAACAAAATCAATCCAATATCCATCTATAAACTGTATTATTGTCTCAGCGTAACTATAATTTCCATAATGAAATTCTTGGACAAACTTTTTGACACATTGGTTGCAGTGAGTTCTCAAGCTAGGCAGTTGGCCACAATGTGATCTCGCTGCATTCAATGTGTCAATTGGTACACAACCTATTCCAAAGCTTCCTGCATTCGCCAGGGAAATGCTTGGTCTGTCAGGCTCTGCTGACTGTATCTCATCTCATAACTCTGGGCAGAGTCGTTGGATGTCATTCACGATGGTTGCTGAATGTAAAGGGCCGGAGCTGTATGTTGCTTGCATGTCAACTTTGTGTGGCGGTGGGATTAATATGCTTTGTGTGTGCGCGCACGTCGCGGTCGGCCATTCGGCCGGCCCGTTTCGCGCCTTCTCCCTTCTCTTCTGATTACAGCCATTATTGTTCAACACTCTCCAGGTGCGGTCTGCTCTGGGCGCAGCTCAGCGGAAGAAACTGTCTTTCCGAAATGTCTCCAATGTGGTCGTACAGCTGTTGCATACCATAAAATTTTCGATGGAGGTTCCCTTCTCGAATATGGCGGCAGGCGGGGGTCCAGGAGAGCTGAAAGTGAATGCAGCGCGTAAGGTAAGCCTATTCACCTCGGTTATTCCCTTCAATTTTATTTTTAGAAGTTTGTGTGAGCCTTGTCTTGTATATTACATTATGATTGTTATAATTTTTTTTAAGACATATTTTGAAAAAAAATAATAAATGATGGATTTGAAGATTACCACACACGAGGTTGATTTTCATGCTAGGTGTAAGTTTCTACCCAAGTATGCCCATCATTGGTTCTATTAAGTTTATACAGCCAATAATGGACCAACTTTATCAGAAAATCACATCTGGCCTGAATAGCACGCTTGCGTTTCTGATCTGTGAATCCTGCTTTACAACTGTGCCAAATTGTGGTCCCATGATGGCACAGTTTTATAATTAGTTGTTATTGTTTTCATCAAATATTGACAGATATTTTATCTGATATTTTGTCTGGTCTTTAGGACATAGTTTACATGTATTTACATGATACAGTTGCTACAAGTTGCATGGATTTTTTAGTGATATGACTTTTGTATGTATTGCATGGTGTATTAAGTATGAATATTGTTTCTTTTAGGATGCGGTAAGTGCAGCTTGAATGCCTTCATTATTTCATTTGAGTAATTTTTTTTCAAAGAAGGTAAGTAAGTTTTCAATGAAAACTTCTGCCATGTTAGGTGAGTGGGACCTTATTCTGACTTTTTCAACTATGCAAAAAATCCACTCTTTCTTGTAATTCAGCTACTTTCTTTGAGATATTCCTAATTAATAATAAACCTTGATTTTTTGACTAATTTACCCTAATTTTTCTTCCTTATGTGAGCTGATGATTCAAAAATTGTTTCTACTGCTACTCATATTTGTTTAATTTCAGTCCACCTACCCCCCTTCCCAAGAAACTCAATCCATTTCGATTCCATTTACTTCTTCATGGTAGACAATTGTTGTACTCTCTTAGGATTTTAAATTACTGGTGGCAATATCGCATGTGCAAAGAAACATCATATTGGAAATATTTAACAGTTTTATTTACCTAGATTCAGTAACAATAAGTGTCATCTTAGATTTTTATCTATTTATTTATCTATCTATCAATCAAATTTTGCTAAGTGTAGATTTTTTTTGAAGTTGAGTTGTTGTGTGATGGTGTGGGTGTTTTGTGGCATGCCCGGCTTATAGGTCCTAGACCTGCAGAGGGCCTTACATGCTGACCCCTCTGCTGCGGGAGGTCGAGCGTTCGGAGGCTCCAACACACTTGACCTCAGAGACATTGGTGGAAAGGTTAGTTAGCATGATGCTATCCTGTTCAAAATAAGGGTTAAAAGATAAATGTTTCCTTTCTTACTTTTTATTCTTAAAATTATGAACTGTCCATTTTTTTTTACTTTTATATTTTATTGTTGTCTTTAAGTATTGTGCACTATTACACACTGAATATTACAGTCCTTAAAAATTCATGTCTAATCCTTTTTTTTCTTTTCCTTAGAAAAAGGTTACTGAAAAGTTTAAAAGACCTTTCAAGAAGAGACATTCTAGTGTTTATCATCAACCATCAAATCGAGTAAATAAGTATCTTGCTCAAGCAATTGATGCACGCAGTGTGGATAGAGAGAAGTCAATTCATGTCAATTTGTTGACATTGTACTTCAAAGACTCTGCCAAGGAACATCTTGTAAGATTAGTTGTATTGGTGAATTTTCACTATTGATATTAGTAATTATTATAACTGATGAATTCAAATTTGTTTACAGTACCACAAAGATGTTGATCTTGGATTCTCAAGTGGACTGGCGTGTGGGCTTGTACTCCTCTTACTTCTTGGTGCCCTTCAAATTGCTGTCCTTCCAAGGACATTGATTGTGCTGCTTCTCTTCCTCCTGACATTTGTCTGGATCTCTGTAAGTTTTGTGAGTGAAGTTATATTTTTTGGTGTACGTTTTCGTATTGGCTACTTATTTTCCTTTCACGTTTTTGCAGGTTGTATTAATGTTACTGTTAGCAGTTCGCCTCCGATGGATCACTCATAGACTAGACATCTCTCGTAGCTTTGTGTTACGGGTTGCTATCACTGTATTTACAATTGTATTGGTATACTCTGTGGCTCAGGCTAATGCTGTAAGTATTCCTATTGGATTTGTTTTTAATTTGAATATCTTGGCTCTTCAATGTGTTTTGTTTACAGTTTACCTGCCATTACGATGCTCCCTGCATCCTCCATTCCTCTGCCAATGTTACTTTAGAAAATGGAGGACTGACAGCAGTGGGATTAGGCAGTGCTGTGGGACTGGATAGAAATCACCGTGCTTGCCCAATACCACACTACATTGCGCTCTCATGTTCTCTGGGTTGTCTGGCAGTTGCGCTATTCTTACGGTTACCCATTATGATCAAGGGAGTACTGTTATCTCTGATGGGATTGATTTACATGCTGCTTGTAGTACTGTCCCATCCAGAAGTATTTACATGCTATGATCAAAGAGTTCAGTAAGTAATTTATTCCTCTGGTTTGCTACTTATTCTTGAATGACAATTATTTTGAATCTTTATATCTTTATCCTCTAGTGCTGTGATCCCTCAAGACCAACTTAGCATTGTGTATGTGTTCATGTTTCTATTCGCTGTTATTATTCATGGAAGACAAATTGAATGGACTGCAAGACTCGACTTCCTCTGGCAAATTCAGGTACAGAGCTTTGTGTATAATTGTACCTTAAGAGCATGACTGACTTCATAATTTTTGCTCATTTCTGGACTTTCATCTATCAGGCCAATGAAGAAAAAGGAGAGATGGATGCATTGCAAAGTAGCAATAGGCGAATTTTATTTAACCTACTTCCTGATCATGTTGCCCTACACTTTTTAAACAATCAGCTGCGTAGCAATATGGTAAGTCTATCACCTTGAATATTAAATTGATATAAAAGAGGAGACAAATTTAGTTCCCCATTAAATTTTCCCAAATTATGTTGATATGTTGTCTAAGCAGTAAGTTATGAATAAATTCTAGATTACCTGCTTAAAATCTGAAGCAACTTTAAAATACAAATTCAATGCTTTTGTTTCAAAAGAGGTAGACTTAAGTTGTGTGGTTGCAGCAGTGCCATTGTGTTCCCTGTTGCATTTTTGCATCATTTTCATTTCATTAGGCTTTTGGAAACAAGGGAATTCCCTATGCTACAAACTGTACTTCCCCTAATTACCCTTCTGCTTTTCAACTTTCTCCTCAAATTCTGATTTGTTTAAAAAGGCATTGTCCACTATTCTTAGTCAAAAATTGTGTTTCAATTTACTTAATCATCCAAATTCATACTCTCTTCTGTGTTTTTCTTCCTTTTCCCCTCCTCCCTCCCTCCCTCCCCGTTTAAAATTCCTTCCTTCCTTGCTGACATCATGTTGCAATACCTAAATGCTTCTAAATTCACATTTATTTGTCATTTTTGTGTTCTTTACCATCAAAAATTTGCTTTACATGCTGCTTTTAAAATGATTTTCTTTTAACTCTTCAAACCTTCTAACATCATGTGTGCTTGCAAACCTTTGCTTCTCATCCTACCCCCTAATCCACCTCATGACTGCTGCTGCTGCTGCTGCTGATGCTGTTGTTGCTGCTACTGCCATGGGCGGCTACACACACACAGAGCACTCTGTCTCAGGAGCTGTACCATCAGAGCTACTCCCGTGTGGGTGTTGTCTTTGCATCCATCACCAACTATCACGAATTCTATATAGAGCTTGATGGAAACAATCAAGGAATGGAATGTCTTCGCCTTTTAAATGAAATAATTGCCGATTTTGATCAGGTGAGTTAACATTGTTTTAATTTAAAGTATTGTGTAATAAAGACTTAGGGTCCTATGTTTAAGGCCCTAGGATGCTCTGTTTCTAATCTAATCTAATCTTAATCTAATAAATACTTAAGGTCCTATGTTTAACAATATTTATTTCTATTTTCTCAGTTATTGGAAGATCCACGCTTTAAAGCTATTGACAAGATTAAAACAGTGGGCTCAACTTATATGGCAGCTGTTGGTCTTTTACCTGAGCACCGCATTTTAGATGATGATGAGGAATCAAGTGCTGGTCTACATATGGGCTCTCTCGTTGAATTTGTGTTTGCTATGCGTGATACTCTTTTAAACATCAATAATAATTCATTCAATAACTTCAAGCTGAGAGTTGGTACGTTTTCCATCTATCCTGTTCCGTTGTCATTTCTCCTCCATTTTTCTTCACACTGTGATAAATTCTGTTCTGTTCTAATACTGTTAATTGTGGTATGCAGGTATCAATGTTGGTCCAGTTGTTGCGGGAGTTATTGGTGCTAGGAAACCTCAGTATGATATTTGGGGCAATACTGTAAATGTTGCAAGCCGTATGGATTCTACTGGGGAACCTGATCGAACTCAGGTAAGGTGCCTTCATGTTTCTTTATGTTTTGTGTAAAATTTCCTTGAATAGGAAAAAATGAACATTATTTTTCTTTTTTAGGTCACTGAGGAGGTTTTCCAAATACTGCGTAATCAGCCTTATCAGTTCCAATGTCGTGGTGTAGTGAAAGTTAAAGGAAAAGGAGATATGACAACTTATTTCCTCAATGATAGGAAACCCCCAGGAACTATTCGTATTGATGAATTACCAGGTCTCCGAGGGCAAGCTGGGTTAGGTACGATTAATGGCTAACTTTACATGACTTAACAAGCTTGGCCTCATGTGCATATTGTATATTGTACATGGTTGATACACCTTTTAAATCAACCTTTCTGTCTATGTTTTCTAGATTCCTACCCTTATTAATACTGTTCTATGTTCCTTTCAGTGGCCAATATGTATGGTGGAGTTGCTACACCTCTTGCCCTCTTACATCAAATTCAAGGTGACATATCTCGTGGTAAATGTCATAGAAGAGATGATGCTAATGTCATGCTCCCTAATTGTTACCGCAACAATTCTCGCCTCCCACCACTTCGAGAGGCTATTCAAGGATCGGGTAGTAGAAATGGAAGTGTAGGGGGCAATGGTGGCCCAGAAAATGGTTTTGGGAATGCTGAAAATGAACCTTTATTGCCTGATCCAAAATTTGGTCACAACTATCAGGTCAGCTTACATTTAAAAAGTGACTGTTAGTTAGTTAGATTTTGATAGTAGTAGTAACTATTGATTGTTAATAACACATAATGTTCAATTCCAGCAACCCATGAAAATGCCTGGTTCTTACCCTAATAACCATCACAACCATCAAAGTAGTAGTGCAAGCCATATGAATCATATGAATCATGTTAGTCATGTCAATGGAAGGGCCAAAAGATCTTCTCTAGAGCGAGAGCGAGAAGCAGCAGATGTCATGGCTCATCATGGACAACCACCCCCACTGCCACCTCATAAAGGAATTTCTCACATGCAATTTCCCTCTGCCCCTAGTGCATCTGTACTGACTCCAGCAAAGAGACATCAACAACCTCACCAGGAACCAGCAAGGTACAAATCTCACTTTTTAGCGATTTGGCTTGAATCATTTTAATTTTACTTTTTAAAATGTATCTGTTCTTCAAATGCTTTTAGATATACTCCTCCCTGGCCAAGAGGAAGTGATTCCAGCAGTTCTGGTCGTCATCTTTTCACCAGCAACTCAAATCACACTAATAACAACCATGGCAATAATGTGGCTTCTAATGACATCTTAAGCAAACCATATGTGAAGCCTCTTCCTCGACCACCTGGTAAAGATGGAAGACACCATCGCAGCAGGGGACACAATTCTCACAGTAACAGTGGGAATGCCCCTCCCTTACCTCCTCACCAGGGAATTCACCCAGCATTAAGAAGTGATCGTGAACGTGTAACTGCTGAAGAAATCAATCCCCGTTCAAAGCATAGGCCAACTCACAATCCCCCTCAGTTGCAGAGGCATTATTCAGATGAGAGCTTGCAAGGTACATCTGCTATTGCAAATGGGTTTTACTTCCCCAGCCCTGCTGCTCACAGAATTCACTCTTCAGCTGATGAGATTAGCTCACTCAACCACTCACCAAGTATTAGTTCATCTGATGAAAGCTACAGTCGAACAACTGATGCTAGCCCTTCTCCATCTCCTCCACCTGGCAATCCAGGATTAAGTAGTGAACCTCCAGAAAGGTGGCTTTATCCATCTGACATCCAAGTAAATCCTTGTTCTTCACCTGAGCACTCACCAAGAGCTGCTCACGATTACATTCCTCCTCAGTGTCTTATATCAAGCAGTCAGAATAATAATTCTGATGAAGGTAGAGGTGCTTCTCGAGGCTCTGGAGGTAGGCGTGAATGGAACGCCTCTCCTCAAAGACACCGAAGTAATGGATCATCTGGTGCCAGACGAAAAGCTGGCGATAAATTACATCCAGCCACACTATTAGCCTTAGCCCAGGGAGCTGTTGATTCATCCTGTGTATCTAGTCCTCTACCCCCACTCTTAGATGGCGACGATTCATATAGGGGAGACAGTTGTGGCAGTTTTGAGTATATTGGAAGGCAAGAAGCACTGCGACATGCTATAGAATCAAAACAACCAAGTAGAGCAATGAAAAAGACATTATCTCCTTTGAATGTAGAAAATGGTGTTCGAAATGGCTTTTCAGATGATCATGGATCGCCTGATGAAAGCAGGAGAACCCCTAGTAAATTGAGCCTGCCCAAACATTCTCCTAACGTTGAAGGTTCTGAGAGAGAATCAGAAAACAATGAAGAAAATCACTCTCACTCCCACTCAAGATCCACGTCTAGTGGCAAATCATCAAAGAAAGATGGCTTTAGTCAAACTGATCGAAAGGATGTTGGAGGTTCTGGCCGCCATCACAATCATCATCATAACCATCATGGACATCATGGACACCATCACCGTAAAGATACTACTGATGGAGCTGGAGATGGACACCCTATTGAATCTCGCCGAGGTCATCAAACTCGGGCTGAATTTGAACGTGAAATTCAAAAACGGTTAGACGATCCCAAACTGCTTAGGAATTCCAGTCAAGAAGAGGCTCACTCTATTACAAGTCCAACAATAGTGAATGAGTTAGGTGTAGCATCACTCAAGAAACATCAGCAGCAAGTCAACAACTCACCTGCTGGAATGCTGGGCAGGTATGTAGCTGAGGCTCCTTTGCCTACTTCTGCCCCTAGTAGTGCCAACAGTACGTTGGCCCAGACACACCACGTTGGCTTAGCAGCCATACAGGAGCTGGCCAGGCGTCAAGCAGAGGAACTGGAATTGGAAGAATTGGCTTCGCCCAAACCCACTGCATCACCTGCTCCTATTCTTGCCTTAGGGTCTAAAAGCCCCCTTCAAGAAAAAATGACTCTTGTTGGTGACCCTGATGACTCTGAGAGCTCCACTATAACAGGACTCAGGCTGAGTGCGGACCTCACCTCTCCCCCAAGGTACTAAAGTTTGTTGGTCCTTCAGGATTGTGCATCCGCTGGTGCTGGTATTGAACCTAATGGTGGTGGTATTATTACTAACTGAAATAAACTAAGAAGAGACGTCATCTCCAAAAAATTTATAACAAAACCTAATGTCACGGAAGTCACAATATTCAATTATTAATTAGCAAGAGCTTCGAGTATTTTGCTCTGCCTTTATGTTCACTCTCAAGACAAAGCTCTTTTAACCATTTTCTCTTAAAATCAAAAATGATGACCGATCTTCTTTAGTTTTCTCCTGAAAGGCATGGTGTGATGTGTTTGTGTTTGAAGTTTTAACAGGGTTGCATGGCATCTTTGGTGCAGAGTGAAATAAGAAACTGGTTGGTTGGATTGTGGCCTTTGCATGAGGTTCGTTTGTTATTTCAGAGTGCTGAATTAATGCTCAACTCAAACTGCATGGACAGTTGCATCTCAACATTTAACCATAGAAGCAAAACCAGTGATACTTTCCCTCTCTATTCCATTCCCATGTTTACAGGACTCAATCTTGTAGGGAGAAAGGTGTAAATTTTCTAATCAAATTTCTGTTTTGTCTACAAATTTGATTTAAATTGTCTTACAATACCTCGACTTGTGTATTTTGGCTTTAGAAAAGCTAATTAAAAGCTATCTATTTGTAGTAGAGTATTAAACGTTAAAATTTTTAATGTACTTCATTATAGAATGTAATATACAGATCTGCCCCAGGATTTTTATGACATTAATTAAAGCTATGCAGTGCCTGCTGAGATTTTTGGTTAATGAATGTCTTCCAGCTTTTACTGAAAGAATAACAAGTTTTTTCTATCTATAAGAACTAGTTTGTTTGATGTTAAACATGCGTTTGTCTTGGTTTATTCAATTTGAAATGCATGCTCATAAAGTTTTACTGGTAACAATAATATTCTAATGTACCTTATTTTGGGTGTAGTCTTCTGGAAATTGCTGTATGCTATCCTTATATTTACTGACTCCATTTATATATTTTTTTAATTTGAAAAAATTTAGCAACATTTATTAATTTTGTGTTTTAATTTATCATTCAGGAATCCCAGTGGTGAAACTGTTAATGAAGGACAAGAAGAAAGGAAGAAAGATACAGAGATCCAAGAGAATAATGTTAATGAAGAGGATATTGATGAGATTGAAAGCTTTGAACGAGAAGAACAACGAATACAAGAAGAAGTTGAAAGACAGGTACTTATACTTGTTTGAAGGACAAGTTACATGATCATACCGCAAAGCTACTGTTTGTGCTTTTCTTGGTCAATTTTAGGTCCTCAGTTGTTATTTTAAGAAAAGTCTAAAATAGGATGGTGATTTTTTTGAATTTGTTTTCAGGAGGCTGCTGTTAAGCGAATGCTTGAAGAGAGTGCCAAGTGTGTTGAGAGGGGTATTTTCACTACAAATGGGGCTGGAGGGGAGACAAGTCAATCTGAATGGAGTGAGGATGATGATGAAGAAGATGAAGATGATGATGATGATGAAGATGAAGATGATGAAAACGCAGCTTCAGAACCTTTGCTTAATGACCGAGAATCCACTGGTTATACAACTGATGACCCAGCCTTAGAAAATGTTTCCATGTTGAATGAAACAGGACTAACAGATGCTGAAGGTATGTACAAAGCAAAGCAGCTCATGAAAATGAGAACTGATGACAACTCTCTTGAGTTTTAATATCTTATTCTGGTCAATTCCAGGTGCATTGAGTGATGTTAATTCTGCCTGTGATGGCCATGACGACATGCATGATGGAGATGATAATACTAGTCTTTCATCGCGGGCCTCTTCACGTGTGTTTGACTCTGATGCTCTCATGAGTCTGGATTCTATGAGTGTATTGTACGACTCTGAATATGATAATTGCTGCAGAACCGATGATGACCTAGGAATTCCCCCCACACCAATGCAGCACATTCATGCCGCTAGTATAAGATCTGTTTCGCAGAGTATCATGCGTAATTTTGGACAGCCTCGTAGTGAGACTGATAGTGATGTGTGAATTATGTCAAATATTTTAAATAATATGCTCTCTTTGAAGAGATGATATCTACATTGAGCATTCTTGTAAGAGGCTCATTTCGATGTGATAGTTTGATTGTATTTTAATCTAGTGCCATTCCGCAAGTTATAAATGTCTAGCAATTCTCAATTTTGAAATAATTTTCTTGCGGATTATATTACGGTGAGTTTGCTTTCCACCATGAAATCAAGTTTAAGTTTGTCAATTATTAGGTCTGACACTCACTCATGTAAGAAAACAGATGAAGGAAATTGTTGCTAGTGATTGTTGACCGTAGCTTGTTTTTTTACTTCAGATGTAGTGCACAGGCCAATTCTTAATTTTGTTGTGATGATTATTCAGTATTTTTTGTATGAGATGGCATTAGTTTAATACCTGAACCATTTCTCTATTTTAATTTTCTTTTGTTTGTCCATCAAACTAGATGGAAGGATAATTTTTATTTTGTTCTTGTTTTCTTTTTCTTTTTAAATAAGAATCTAATGTGTTTTTAACAAATTTTTTTCTATCAGGATCTTATATTGACATTATTTTCATATGTGTTTCAATTTTAAATGTACTTTATGAAAGAACATGCTTCTTTTGTAGTGATTCTAGTCTGTTTTTTTTCTTCTTCTAATCATGGGCATTCTATACTCATTCTGTGAATTGGGTTCATCTATGTGGTATACTGCTTCTGCATACACTGGGATATTTTCTTGCCATTGATTACAGTACATTGTGAGGCCTGTTTTATGTACAACAATTTTAAAGAACCAGTTTTTGGGAGCGCTGTTAATGAAGGTAGGACTCTATTTTTAATCTTTATTTTTTAATCAGAGATGTAAGGTGCTCTGTCCTAATACATATGTTCACATTCTGAATACCATGTTCTAATTCCCATTTTAGTTTTTTTTTCTAGAGGCTTTCTATCCTTTAAGAGTTTTCTTTTTGTTAAACAGAGAGTAATGTTTTTTGTCTCTTTTACTCATAACCACAATGCCAAAGCATTTTGTTGATATGTACCTCAAGTAACCTCAGCTTGTGTAGCCTTTTTCAAAACCCAGGAACTTAGTTTCAGTTTCCTGTATGTACATTTGTAATTACTCATGTTAATATGTACATGAACAAATATGTGATGGATTTTATTGGACCTAATTGTAATCATTGTTCAGATTTTTGTTTGCAGTTTCATGTAATTTTAATCGAAGATTTTTGTTTGCTGGATGGATTTTAGAGACTATCTGTAGACTTAATTGATAAAAAGTATGTCCATTGAATACAAGTCCAAAGTAAAAAGATTCTTGGTCCACGTTTGTTTCAAATTTGGCTACTGCATCCATTGAAATTTCATACCGATGGTTTGATGAATTTATCTATCTAGCCCCGCTACTAACCTTAATTGCCAAACTGTAGGACCAGAGGTCGCACCATGTCAATTATATATTAATGAAAAGGTGCTTGGCTTACTAAGAGTAGGTACAAGACAGTTTGTCCTGAACTCCCCTGCCCCCCTTTTTCAAAAAAATCGCTCCTGCAGTTTACCAGAATCTCTAGGTAATAAACTTTGGAAGTTAAGTTAAAGCACTGATATTTATTATCTTAGTCAAGTAAGTCTTGCTTGATTGTATGAGACTAATCTCCATAGTGTACTGCTTTCAGAGACTGAGGAGGAACAAATCTTTGCTAGTAAGTATTTTTTAAGAAAATCTCATGTGGCCTGTTTTTGAAGTGAGCTTTTGCTCACACTCTGAGGGTTCTTCAATATTGAATGAACCTTTCTGTTAAGTCCATCTGCTTGACCGTCTTGTTTTACCAACTTTTTTTGTTAAATGAACATAACTGTCATTTGGGATCAGTCTACCAATAGTGTTTACCATGATAAGAAAAGTATGTTATTGCCAAATTCTTTCACATCTGGAAAACTTTGGATTAGTCTTTTGCATTGATAACTTGAAATGGTAAGGTTTCCTGACTGTAAGATTTTATCAAACTGAAAGGGTGTTGTTTTGTCAGTAAAATGCTCTATTTTGAGCTTTTTTAAACATTGTTTCTGAAGGCAATGTGTAGCTAGCATGTTTGGTAATTTTAGAATGCTTTTTTTATTTGTCTGTATGTTTAAACTACAAATTCTCTCCTTTTTTTTTAATCTGTCAATTTTTTATTTTTTTTTAAATGAACTGTAATATTAAATTTGTTTTTATTCAAGGATAGCAGATTTGCACCTGACTAATCCATGTGAAATGTATGAAACAGTGTTGGTGACATGTCTATCAAATACAGCCCATCAGTATTTCCAGTTTTAATTTTGACATCTCTAAGAAAATAATTGTTTATACTTGACGTAAAGTTTTGTGTTGTGACTGTTTGAGAGGTGGCTACTTTTTGACTACGAAATGTTCATCCCATTGACTTAATGAAAATATTTCTCTATGTTTTGCTTGGTTTACTTCTAATGCAATTTGTATTCACTCTCTGTTTCTCATTACATTTACAGTGTTGTCCATTTGTAGATGTTATAAACGCATAATATTGAGAGAAATGTTTATGTGTTGTTTGCACTGAGGCTGTTAGTTATCTGTAAATGCTCGGTTTAGTTCTCAATTTGTAGCTATGTACATAAGTGTGGCTATGCTCTGCCAAGAATAAAGTTGATAACTAATTATTCAACTAGCTTTATTTTGATCCTCGAAAACATGGCTGCGCCGCACCGACCAATCCAAGAACGAAACTTATCGCTTTGGTCTGAGCATGAATGTCTCTGGAAACACTTCAAACGCCACCATGGGCTCTTGAGGAAGCCCCCGAACCATTGAACACTGCACGAGTAGGGCTGGATCGAGGTCGGGGGGTGGGATGGAGATGGGGTGGGGCCAGGTCCATAGCCTGGCTGCCCCTGAGTTCCCTGGGCTGGCGGCTGGCGGCGGACCAGAGCCGAGGGTGGGCAGTGGGCTCGCAGTCTCAGGCCTTCACCAGCGGGAGCAGGACGTCCGGGCTGGAGGCACCGTGTCCATTTACGTGGAAGGAAATTTGGTAAGTCTCCTTAGGAGTGAGATAATGGATGGGGACTATAGTAGAGGGAGTTCTGAGGGAACTGATGGATTATGGAGTAGGAAGCACATTGCCAAAATAATTGCTTTTTCTGTAAAGTAATTCCCTGGATATGACATTTAAAATTTAACAAAAATAGATATAATCCCTGTCCTTTATTTTTAAGAAATGAATTGAGGAGGCGCAATTGAAGTTGAAGTATATTTACTAACAATAGACCCAACCCTTGCAAAGTTTCACCCCTGCGCACAGTGGAACCCACTGTCCCTGCCGCCCATTCTAGCTCATTTTTTTGCAGTCATTACATTTGCACTTCATTTGCATTCCTTCCAACCGGCCGCGTTTTTATCACAATGAAAGCATACTTCACTGCCGATGTAATTTACATAAATGGACTTCCCTCCCCCCTCCCACAACTGACGACAGTTCTGCGTGTCTCCTTCTGGACAGGAAAACCCCTCATTCACTAAACTTCTGACCAGAGGCGGACGGAGTCTACACCACGACACTTTGATAAACTGTTTGAAAAGCTTGGTGTTGTTGTTGTTAAAGGGAATAACAATGCGAGGCAGCGCTTTGCTGGCCATAGTGGCGCTATGCACCATATCCGCCGCCAACGCCCGTCCGGACTGCAATGCCTGTTTTATGAAGAACGCGGGGAGGGACAAAGGTAATGTACTGTATAACACGCGGTGTTGTTAGAAAGACGCACATAATTATGTCCTTTTTAACGCGGCACTCTACCCATCAATTGGCAGAATCGAATGCGACGGTGGGTGACAGACAGCAGAGGTCTCAACTGGGCGAACAGAACAAGAGTGACGTATCGTAAGTATCGAATTATATGCCATTCCCCACAGCAGAAAAGAGTCGTGTTTTTTTCTCATTTGAAACACGAATAACAGCTCGTTTTACAGGGAGCGCGTGCTCCGCTCGAAGCGCACCGCAGCGTGGGGCGCGCAGCAGGAGGTCCAGCAGAGCGTCCAGACCCGCCTGCGAGACGTACTCCTCGCGCAGAACGCGGAGCGGCTGAGGGAGCGCCTCGAGGCCGACGCAGCAGGTAGGGAAGCCCCACCTCGTCACCCTCGAGCAGAATGACTCGAAACGACTTAAATGATAAAAATAATTCTTATTGTGAAAACCAATTTTATATTTACTTTTTACTCCACTGCGCGGGGGAAGTCCCCCCCCCCCCTCACTAGCTCATTATTTCTTACCTTATTCTGCAGACCAGTGGTGGGAGGACTCTCCGGCCAACGTGGACGGTGCTCCAGAGGGCCGTCAAGAGGGAGGTGAATGGGGAGACATCAAGCAAGTCATCCCGAGCTACTCCCAGCAGGCGGGCTTTGGCCGCATGAGCCATACGTGAACGTGTGGAGTGAAGAGCTAAGAAGTGGAATAATTACAACCAGATGCAACAGTTCTGGATCCGTTTTAATGTATTGCCTCAACAAACTGCCAGACAACACAGAAAGAATGGCAAGATAAAAATACAATAAACGGCTTTAGATAAAAAAATATAGTTCTATAATATGATCTAAAAATGGAAGACATTAATTGTAGAGATATTCCACTTTTTAACCAAGGCTAGAAGGTGGTACCTTATTTGACACATTAATTTCATACTAAACTCGACAAAGTTCACACAATAAGGTTCATGCTATAAACATAACATGGATCGAGACTTGTGTATCCATGTCCATTATGGAGCTAATCTTTCGAATACCCAACCGTTATCTCCCTCATGCAATAACTTTCCATCTGGCTTCTCAGTTTCTTGAGGGCGCCGGAAGCGAATTCGGTCATGTAGTCTGTCACTCTGACCTTGCCAAAATTCTATACTTTGTGGAATCACCATATATCCACCCCTTAATAAAATAAAAAATTATCAGTAATCGTTTTAAAAATTGAATTAATCTGAAACCATAAGAAACTTATTAGGCTCACCAGTTTGGGCGTGGTATCTCCTTATCAGAGTATTCTGTGGTAAGATATTTTTCTTGAGCAGTCAAGACTTCACGTCCAGAAATAGGAGTGCTCTGATTACTGGCACATGCACCAATTTGACTTGCTTTAGGACGTGAATGGAAATACTCATCTGACTCCTCTACTGACAACCGTACAACATTTCCTTCAACTCTCACCTAGTAAAACAATGTTTACTTTAAGCAATATCTTAACCCACAAAATAAAACAGTTATAAATGTTAATGCTTACAGATCTGCGTAAAACTTCCCAGTAGAATGTCAGTGCTGCTTTGGGATTTTCCTCCTAATGATGAAAAGTTGATAAAATTATGGCAAATAGGAAAAGTATGTCAGTAAAATATATACTAGAAGAAACTTACAATTTCTTTAGCTTTCCTGCTCTCATAGTTTGTAAAAAATTTGAATCCATCTGGACCAAAACCCTTTAGAAGTACATATCGAGCAGAAGGAATTCCATCTCTAAGCAAAAGAAAAAGACCATAGTTTCAGAAGCACAGTGGATATAATTAAGCAATAAATAAATGAATAAATATGCATACTTGCTTGCTGTTGACAAGCACATAGCATTTGCCTCCATTACACTGGGATCATTACGCGCTTGATCAAACCAAGCTTTGAATTGACCAATTGGTTCCTTGCAAACAAGATCAGATTCTGTAAACAGTTCCTGTCGACTCCGATAAGCTGCTCGCATACCTGCGACTAAATGGTCAAGGAGTGTTATCAGTATCAATGATGAAATGTGAAGATTTGTGGTTTTACAAAAGAACTTTAAGAAGTTCACCAATTGGGAAACAAATTGTAGATGGCTTCCAATAAAACCTGCAACCCATTACCCATCATTTCAGATTTTGTTGTTTGTATTGCAGCCCGACTTTTGCTAAATATACTATGGGTGGGTACTGATGGGTCCCTCACAGAGACCCCTAATGCAAGATTTGTGAAAATTTATTTATTGCATTACTGAACTTCCAATTTACATTTAGCAAGCAAACTCCGGCTGCAGCAAAATCTGAAGTGTTGGGTGATGAGTGATGGGTTCCAGGTTTCTTTGGAGGGCCACCTTGTTTCGGATTGTCATTTAAAGACAGACCAGAGATAATAATCATAATTTTTTGTCTTTCTTAAAGATGTATCCACGTCACCTACTACATTTACTGTAGAGCCCACAGTAGAGCATTCTAAGTTTGTTTAAGAACCTCGCTATAAAGACAGCAGACGACACACTATTTACTACTAACCTCCACTGTCATACGACATGTTAGACATCGAAACAGTTAGATGCAGATTTTGAGGAAACTTGTTTATCTGCTTAATGATGAGTACTGATTTCCTAGAGTCCAATACAAGCAAACGGAAAGGTAAATGCATTCGGAATGAGAGGAGTATTCGATGTTCTTCTCGTGACACTTCAGTCACGGAGGTTTCTGCTTGTTTATCTTATCTGCTGAGCAGTTTAGACAACCATACAACACAAGTCCAATAAACCAAGTAAAGGTTATTATAAGACTTCTTTAGTAACTAAAATTTTGATTAAAATTGAAATATTGTTTTTCATTTTAATATGAACGAAATGAATCGACCTTTTAAGATACTAAAAATTAGTAACAGTCTGCCGACTGACTAACGTCGTTATAAGGCCGCTGCTCACCGCGTCTCACTTCCTTTTCCTTCATTGGAAGCTCCCTGTGGCATCGGTGCACGTTAGTTCACTTTGTTTTTATTGTCTCTATTGGTATATTTTCTAGTATTGTTCTCTATCTTGCTACTTCTATTATTTAAGTTCGCGCCTACAGTCCTTTGTATTTTTTTGTGCCGGGAAATGTCTTTTCCGATCATGTTTACTGAATCTGCATGTGAACTTGTAACTTCACCGGTCCACACGTGGCCTGCGTTACTGAACTTTTCCCACCTCAGACTATTGTGTACATTCTGATATTCTTGTTTGTGAAGTAGTATTCACTAGTCAACTATTTTAGAACTAATGTTTCGTTGTGACTAAGTGTTTAAAGTTGCTGTTAGAGTACCATAACCTATCTTTCTGTAGCGTCCTTCCTGCCCATACTGTTTATCCGATGACTCAATGTTTTCCACTTCACTACATTGCTTCTATTCTTACGCTTCATATTTTCCTCAGGTTTGCTCGTAACTCATATCAAACGTCAAGATGTCGGGAGGAATCGACGTTCTCGCCCTCAAGGAGGAGGATGTTACCAAGATGCTTGCTGCATCATCTCACATTGGTACTGAAAATGCCAACTTCCAGATGGAACAGTACATCTTCAAACGTCGTGCTGATGGTAACGTGTGTTGTTAAATGTCCTGTGGTACTGGTGTCAGTTTCCATGTGTGTAACTCATTTTGTGTGACAGGTCCCTACATCATCAACCTTCGCCGCACTTGGGAGAAGCTGCTGCTTGCTGCCCGTGCTATTGCTGCTATTGAACATCCAGCTGAGGTTTTCGTTATCTCGAGCCGTCCCTATGGACAGCGTGCTGTCCTGAAGTTTGCTGCCCATACCGGTGCCACCTCTATTGCCGGTCGTTTCACTCCTGGTGCTTTCACCAACCAGATCCAGGTATGTATTGTCATTGCTTCTGTTACTCTGGAACTTAAGGGGGTAAAGCAGGTGTTACCAATTCCTTTATTTTAGGCTGCCTTCCGGGAACCCCGCCTCTTGGTCGTCACTGACCCTGCTACTGACAAGCAGCCCATCACAGAGGCCTCTTACGTTAACATTCCCGTTATCGCTTTCTGCAACACTGATTCTCCCCTCAGATTTGTTGACATTGCTATCCCATGCAACACCAAGGTAAATCACTGTTTTAATATATTTTTCTTACAATGGTTGTTGCTCAGTATGTATTAATAATTGCTATTTCTTTCAGTCCCACCACTCTATTGGTTTGATGTGGTGGCTGTTGGCACGTGAGGTGCTGCGTCTGCGTGGTCAGATTCCCCGTGAAGCCAAGTGGGATGTTGTTGTGGACTTGTTCTTCTACAGGGATCCTGAAGAGGTTGGTATTAGTACAGTTTTTGTACTGCTTTAAAAATCCCATGATGTCTTTTCAAGCATATGTCTGAACTTGTTGATGACTAAAGGATACTGAGGATTTGCCTTGTGGATATTATGAAATTTGACTCTACACTTCAGCATGTTTCTCAAACACTTTTCTCTTCTGTAGGCCGAGAAGGAGGAGCAAGCTGCCAAGGAGGTTGCTGCTGTCCCCATCAAGGTCGAGACTGACTATGCTGCCATCAGCAGCACAGCCACCTGGGAGGGTGAGGCTGCCGCAGTTGTTGCCACTGAGAACTGGGATGCTGAAACTCCTGGTGCTGCTGCCACTCCTGCTGCACCTGGAGCAGCACCTGCCGCTCCGGCTGTGGATCCGACCGCTTTTGTTGCAGCTCCAGCATCAGACAATTGGGCTGTAAGTATTTTGCTAGTTGTTCCTAGATGAAATATTGATAACATTTTGAAATATTTTTTTTTTTTCGGCTTTATAGGATGAGGCATGGCAGCAGGGAACTGCCGCCACTGCTGCAGCTCCAGTTACTACTCCCAGCTGGGGAGGTACTGCCCAATGGTAGAATTCTTGAGAAATAAAGTGGTCAACTAAATTTCTTCTTTTCCTTGCTGATTCCTATAGAAACTTCTCACAATTATCCTTGCACAATTTCTCACTTTTATTGGATGTGCATGACTAAAGTTTGAAAGTAAATGGCTTTCTATTAGGCTTGCTTAAATCTCTGGAACTGTAACCGGCCTTCTGAGGAGGTGAACGGGGAAAGGACATGAGCTCCAATGGAATGAAACCCCTTTTAGCATAAGCATTGAGATGCTGTGCACTTATTTAAATTAAATACTTTCCATTATTCAGAGTTCATAATATTTTGATTACTTTCTCTTTAACTTATTGTTCAAAGAACTCTTTTTACACTATTTCAATTATATTTTTATTTGCTTCACTATTTTTCAGTAATAACATTTCTAAAGCCTCACATGGAAAAGATTTAACCTTGAATATTACTTTTTATTGTTGGCTAAAACTTGAAACTGAGAAAGTAACTCTCTTGGAATACAAATTAAGGGCCCATTTACGATCGTTTTGGCTTAGTTAATATAAATTCGATTTTATTTATGCGAAGGCGGTTTTGTCATTAATTTAAGGGGTTTTCGCGGAGAGGCATTTACGATCGTTTCCGCATGTTTCCGAGGTTAAGTAGAATTCTTGGCGCCGTCGCCATGTTTGTTTGGCATTTCCGCCATTCTCATTGGCTAGTTCGTACTTCGCGCCCTCGGCCGGATAAAATTTAAGGGTTTATTTTAACCAAGAGGCTAGCTTAAATTTTATTTTCCATCCCGATGGAAACGATTCTCACTAAGCGGGCCGTTATTACTAACTAAGAATTATTTAAGCCAAGGATTGATCGTAAATGCTACCATAAGAACCAATGCTACGGAAATTTCATATTAACTAAGAAAAACGATCGTAAATGGGCCCTTATAATGCAAGTTCCCATTTACATTTTGTGAACACACATCACATGAAACAAGTGCATTATTTGTGTCTGAGGCAAACAAATTTTTGATAATTAAAAGAAACTGATGGATTTGAAAGGTTGTTGCATACAAGTAGTCAGTTTGTTGCTGATTAATTCAGTAAAAATTATATATTTTGTGTTCACACACAGCCTTCACAAAACAATCAAACCATGGTACATAACAGTTGATTTAAAATTAAGAGGGAGAAAAAATATGTTTTGTAAAGCACCACAGGAGACTGCAATGAATTAACAGTTAAGATTTGTAATCATTGACAAGTAGATTTCACTGGGTTAAATAAATGGCACATCTCCTCATCTGAAGCAACATGTGCAGGCAACATACCATACACATCTGCAATTGTCTGATTAGCACCTTGCTCAATCAAGAACCTTATTACAGATACATGGCCACAAGAGGCAGCATAATGTAGGGCAGTTTGACCTTCCTGATCTTGCAAATTTACATCAGCTTTTAATTCGGCAACAAGCATTTTGAGCATATCCACATTGTCTCTGTCAGCAGCCCAGTGTATGAGCCCCATTCCCTCTGCATCAACAGCATTAACATCTACCCCTTCCTTCAGGACAGCATTACGAACCCGCTGAACTTCACCCTCCTTCACCCAGTCAAACACAGTCTTATCAGAATCGTGGATAAATTCATCAGTATTACTCAAACAGCTGACAGTTACCCACCCTTCGCTTGGGCGATCTTGTGTTGGTTCAGCTGTCCAACCAGGATCAAGTTCAGAAACCATATGAACATAACCAGACATGGCATCACTTTGCTCCATGTCACCAAGCTTGCTCCATGCCTCCCATTTCTGCTTTTCCTGAAGCTGATACCAGCGAGGCTTCTCAGATGGACATCGTCCCTGTGTTGCCTGCTTGTATAAAGCATACAATCCAAGTAATTGTGAGGGTTCAAGTCTACTGACCAGTGTATTTTTCACATGCTCAGCAGCAAGCCGAAATTCCTCAGCAAGCTCCGATTGTAAGAGAGATGCTTCAGCCATGTTGAACTTAATAATAATAATACTCAATAACTAGACTGAATTCCAAAATGTAAACAGATAACAAATCTACAAAACAGAAAGAAAATAAATTCTTTATACAAACAAACTTAAGTATGTTCAAGAGCTACAACCTAAAGTATAAAAAATAGAATTTTGCTTAAATGACGAGCTGTTAGCTTTTAATACAAGGTAGAAACTGCAAATGTTTTTTAACTTTCATCCATTTTCTCAACTCTAAATGATAGTAACTTAGCATAGAAGAAAAAGGGGTGGTTGATGACTGGTCTGCTGAATGATAAACATAAAATCTATAATCAGAAGCCAATGGAAATTGATCCATTATTGCACTCTAGTTATCTCTAGTAAATGAATGGTATGATCCTGCATTAGTTCATGAATATCAATACCACTCTCAGCACCTAAATTGTCAATTGGAATTTGTTCGCAACGTAATTGCCATTTATTTAAATGGTGTTCGATGGACCAATCTGAGCTTCTTTCTTGATACACACACAGAAAACGGGCGTCTGGATTCTTCTCCAGTAAAAAAGCAACAGTCACAATAATATCTTCAAATATTGAAGGTTCATAGAAACAGTCTGAACCAAGAATCAGGTCAATTGGACCCAGTGTAAAAATGTTACTCAGGAATAGACCCCATGTTATGCCAAGAACACGCACCTGAAACAATGGTTTTATTTAATAAGCAAAACACCCTAATAATTATACAACAATTTTGGTTAAGAAGATAATGAAAAGACTTACTTGATTGGGTAGGAGACCATTCACTTCACAACAATGGCGAACATGCTGTAGGCTTTTTGGTAAACATGCGCTTTCAGTTAATGTTACAGCAGCGCCACATTTCGCAGCAAGTATACCAGGTAGTGCAGTGCCAGCACCAAGTTCAACTACGTGTTTTCCTGGCAATTGTTTCCGACGTTCCCATAAGAACCAGGCAAGGACTGGAGCAGAAGGCCAAGTATAAAAGCTATAACTGGCCTGCAGTTGCTGTAACGAGAAACGAAGGACACATTGTAAGATAATGATTGGTGGCACAGTAACTGTAGAATCTTTATTATGTAAAATAGATCTTAAAGATGGTAAAATATGAGGAGAAGTGTCTACACATTGTTATTCCTAATTTCTTGGCCACAATTGATGGATATATAAGTGACACTTGTGAATCCAACAGCAAGGTTATGTGTTAAAGATACAAATGTCTTGATATCATTCGGAGGTAAGACGGCGCAAAATCCTAGGTTCTACCACACAAATCTTGCAATTTTAAAATTTATATTGAATAGTATGATAATATCTTTCACGTTTAAAGCAGGAAAATAAATAAAAAAAAACTGAGAGGAATTTGGAGAAAGGTACCTCCGGAATCAAGATTTCCAACGTCTCTACTTCTCCCTCTTCTGATTTCGAAGGACTGGATTGAAAAATGAACTTCTTCACTTGCTCGGAAACCACATCGGACATTTGGGATTCATAGGAAAATTATCCAAATGAAGCTGAAGCAGACAGAGTGCTCCAACCTCAAACCAAGAAAACGGCAAACGAGAGAGGATGCAAGGGAAGGGAGGGGAGAGGGGAAGGCGGGGGCGGGGGGGGGACAGAACAACATATTCGGATTTACATTCATCATATTTGGTTATTTACGGCCTCAATGCTATGAGACTATTCATCTTTGGAATGAAGAATTCTGTTGTGTACCCAATGTTCTCATCCATGAGAATTCCTCCTAAACATTGAAGTTTACTCTCTCCTATTGTACCCACATAACCTATCGAATTGCATGAGTTTTTCAGTAAACGACATAGAAAAATATATTCGTGTGATAAAGGAGCCTGGCAAATTTCAAGTGTAGCTAGTTATCAGCTTGGGGATGCCTATTGAGTACTTAGCTGCCTTTGTCAGGATTGCCTTCTGTCGGTGAATTGCCCTGATAATAGATGTGTATGTACAGCGAATGCACTGATTTTATATTGAATAGCTGTTTAAGTTATCAAAACCATCATGAAACGTATTTTTGAATCATCGAGACCAATAGCTAGGCTCGTATGTCGACGATGGAAGAGTTCTAGTTCAAAAAGTGTCTTGAATCTCCATGAAAGAGGCATGTACAAAGACATTTTCCCAGGAAAAGCAGCGTAAGCGTAGTATAATTGATCTGTTTCTTTATTATGATGCTATGAATCATGTGCTGTTGGGAAACCAACCTAAAATTTAAATCTACTCTTATTATTTCTAGCACGGAAATTGACAATCTTTTAAAAAGTTCAAGTCAGTGTGTATATGCTGGCTTCGACCCAACTGCTGACAGCCTTCACGTCGGTAATCTTCTTGTCCTTGTGAACCTTCTTCATTGGCAAGCATCTGGTCACCAAGTTATTGCATTGGCAAGTATATCTTACTCTATTAGTGTCACGTCATGAGACTCATGAAACTCTAGTACACTTACATGTTCTTCCTCTGTGTTAAAATGATGTTCTATAGTTGTCTGTTCTTTCTTAGATTGGAGGAGCTACAGGCCACATAGGCGACCCAAGTGAACGAAATACAGAACGGCCTTTGATTTCATCTCAAAACGTGTTCAAGAACGCTGATGGAATCAAGAAGAATATAGAGTGTGTTTTTGAAAACTATAGAAAACATTTTTCTAATGGTGCGGAACTACATCCTGTTAAGTAAGTCACCAGTTTACTAGGCATACATTTTTGTTGCTATCCATCTCAAAATTGAAATGTATTTTCCTCTTTAATTATAGGATAGTTAATAATTATGATTGGTACAAGCAAATGAATGCAGTTGAATTTGTTGGCTATGTAGGAAGACACTTCCGAATGGGTACAATGCTTGGGAGAGAAAGCGTGTCTCAAAGATTATCTTCTGAGAGTGGCATGAGTTTTACAGAGTTCACCTACCAAATATTTCAAGCGTATGACTGGTTACATTTGTTTCGGACAAACAATTGCAAATTTCAGGTATTAAATACAATTAAGTTTCCAAAATTCCACTATGTAAAGTAAAAAATAATAATGTAAACACTTTTCAGATTGGTGGTAGCGATCAGATGGGTAATATTGTCTCAGGACATGATTTAATCAGCAGGGTAGAGGACAAATCAGTGTACGGTGCGTTTTAATATCACATTTGGTTTTTATAATGTTTGCCTAACGGTCTACAAATTGTAGAAAAGCTTTATAATTTTGTTCCGAAAAATTCAGGAATCACCTTACCATTAATCAAATCTGAATCAGGCGATAAATTTGGGAAGTCAGCAGGGAATGCAATATGGCTCTCTGCATCAAAAACTTCTTCTTACGATTTGTATCAGTTCTTTGTCCGCACACCAGATGCAGATGTAGAACAGCTTCTGAAGCTCTTCACTTTTCATAATCTAGGCTTTATAAAAGATATAATGAAAAAGCACAAGGATGACCCATCCAAATGGACAGCCCAAAAAGTCTTGGCCCAGGATGTCACCACTCTTGTACATGGAGGTACAACTTGTGTACATACAATATTTAATGTTTATTTTTATAAAAGGGAAAAAGAGATAAATTTAAATTATTTTTTTTTTTTTTATCTGTTCTAGAGGAAGGTCTAAGGATAGCACAGTTGTCATCCACTATTTTACATGGCTCAGATATTGCAGCATTGTCATCTTTAACTGACAATGAAACCAGGCAAATTTTTATGGGCACACCAGTCAAAGAACTCATGTTAACACAAGGAATGACTTTTCTAGATGTAAGCCGTAAAGCTGGATGTTTCCCATCAGACAGTAAGTATGAGTTCTTTGGATGTAGCGTCAATAGCAACATTTTTCTGAATTTGCGTTCCAAATGTCATAGTTTTATTTTAAGGACATAAATTTTATTTTTCCTAGGTGATGCAAGGAGAATAATATCTGCAGGTGGATTTTCCGTTAATTATCAGAAGCTTAGTAACCCTGATGAAATATTTTCTGTTGGGCATATCTTGCCTTCCAAATATTCTGTACTTCGTGTTGGTAAGGAATATAATTCATTCCAGCGATTGATTTGATTATCTGTTCTTCTGTTTAAATCCCTAACGCAGAATTCTAAATTTTATTCAGGTAAAAAAAATTTCTTTTTGGTACACTGGATTTAAAAGCCAACATGCCTGTGTATTAGCTCACCTCTACTGTACTGGAATGACACTATGGTAAAATAAATATTGGTTGTTCAAAGTGAATTGTTTGATGTCTTTCTTTAGTTAATATGGGAAATCAAAAACATTACCCTAGATTACTTTTACGTGGTATTCTAAGTTTTACACACCTTTAGATTGAATTTACTGTGTATTGGGTGACTGCAAAATATTGCCCAAACGAAGAACTTGTGCGTTAAGTGATGGAAAATGCTGTTGTAAAACTGTTTTAAGGTCAAGAAGGTTACTTGTCACTGTACGCTGCTTGCAAATCTCAGCATCCAAACCAGATTCTGTTCGATACAGTAGTTTATGTTTACCCTCCTTTACTTTACTGTACAATCGAACTTTTTTCTGTAATCTGACAAGCGTCTCTAGTTTCTGGAAAAAGAAGAAGCAAGTTAATCTTCTCTCAAAATAAAACAGAAGGTATGGACTTTTTAAATCTGAACTAAAATCTTACTTGTTGCTTCATTGCATGTGCTTCGTCAACCTGTTTTTTAATCATTTGCAATGCTTGCTCCTCCCTCTGCAATCCTTTCTCTGCTTCCACAAGTGATTCTTTAATTTCTGTGAGCTGCTGTGGTAGTTCTTTTTCTAACTGACTTGCCACATTTTTTGCCTCCTGTTAAAATGAATTTTCTAGTCAATATATTATCAATCAGACAATTTTGCATTTCAATAGATTTATTTCACAATCCTTATACTTGCCAAGTTTGCTTGCTTTTTTCTACTGGAGAGATTTTCTAGTTTACGTTCAAATACTATTCTGTTGCTTGTTGAGCCTGAACAACCTGTTGACCTTTTCTCTCTAGCATCCGCCTCATTCAAGAGGGATTCTCTCCGCATTATACAGTGTTCCAAATCTTTAACGAGGGTTTCTTGAACCTTCCTCAAGTGGGAAAATCTCACCTGTTGTATAGGTTGAAGAGAAAAGAGATGCATTGTTCCATTTATTATGCTGCTGGATTGTTAACCACTTTTTATGTGTATGAGTGCTTGTGTAGTTGTTTATATTTTACTTACGTCCATTCGATGTATTTCAACTTTCATCTGACCTAATTCACCGTTTGCTTTGTTGTCTTCCTCATTCATTTGCTTTGTTTCTGTCGCGAGAAGTATTTTCTTCTCCCAAGCCAAACAATCCCGCTTCATATCCAGGATGTCTTGGTTAAGCATCAAGTTAATTTCTTCTAAATTTGTCAATTCCTCCTCTTGTTCAACATTTTCTCTCTCTAAATCCTTAAAACAATGTTATGCACAGCATTCATGAGAGTGGTGTTTGGCATTGTTTTACAGCAACTTAATTTTCATCTCCTGTCTCATAACTTACCTTAAGAAGACCCAAAGCTTCTGTTTGAATGATCAAGTTTTCTTTGTCTAAAATTTCTTTATATCCTCGCCTGTTATGAAGACCCACAGTCATTTTATTTAGAGACACGTCTAGTTCATGTATTTGATGTTCAATATCTTTTTTGCCTCTGTTGTGCTTTTCCATCTCGTGTTCAATTTTCAGGGATCTTTGTGTTAATATGTGTACCTCTGTAAAGCATCAATTATGTATCATTGTAATGCAAGTGCTGAAGAGTATTCTTTCAAGATTCTTTCAAATCTGGTTAGATTTTACTAACGTTTGTATAACAAATTTAGTTGCTGTAGCTGTTTTTGTCTTTCCTCTGTAAGTCTTACAATGTGTGATTGAAGTCGGAGCCAGAATGCTTGTTTTTTTTCTGCTTCCACTGCTGTTTCTTCTATTTCTAATTCAATGGCTTTTATTCGAACTTCTTGAGGACTTTCTTCTGTCATCTGCAGGGATTGAAATTTAAACAATTATAAAGATACCCAAAATGCAATTTCAAGCCAGTGTAGATAATACATACTCCGGAACGTGCAAGAATAGAATTCAGTTTTTTGGAGAGTTGGTCTATTAATTGCATTTTATTTTCCATGACACTTAAACTTCGTTTTACACCAGCTTCGAGTTGTGACAAATCATTGCCATATTTTCCTAATTCGTTGTTGGCTTCTATTATTAGACTTTCATTGTAGACAGTTGCACCTCGTATTTTCTCAACTTCCACCATTGTTTTTGATATTTGGTTCTCCATCATTATAAATGTCAATTCCTGTCAATATTACATTTTTATGACCTTTGTTCCACCAACTTCATAAATGAAATTGTGTAGTGTTATGATAAGTTTAACCTGGTTTTTGTTGCTGTCCTTCAGGTTTTTTATGGTCTTTGCAAGGTGCTGGAATGCTTTGTCATGTTTACTTTGATCTTGAAGCTTCTCAAGAATTTGTGTTTCTAACATGATTTTTTTCTGAGTGAGATGTTCCACTTCTTTTTGTTTATATAGGCTCTGCTGTGTCAGTATTTTGCCATCCTGTAACAGTCACAATGTTTTAACACATTCAGTGCGACGTGACCCACACTATGGGTCCCAATAACATGGGATTGCCTACCCCCGCCGCACTCAACGTGTTAAGATAGGATTGATTCTAATTAAGTATCATTGTAATTTGTCTATCTTATTTTCAGTAGATAAAGATAAAATAAGTACTTTAGAGGTCCAGCAGGAACCTTGTTCCTTACCACTAGAACTGATTGTAAATTTTCTTCTCTACTCTTAAGTATGCCGGAAATGTAGCTATAATCAGCTTCTAGCTCTGTAATCAACTCTTTATTTTTGCAGTGAGTTTTCATCAAGTCATTATATTCAGCTTCCAAATGGTCAAGAATACTCATAGTTTTCTCATTTTGCACCATCTCATGTCTTGCTAATCGTTTATAGCCTTCTATTTCTGAGATCATCAATTGAAACGCCTCCTTAGCTTTTCTGTAAGAAAAGTATAAAATATATACAAATCATGGCCCTCACAGCAAATCATAACTGAAAGACAAGTGAACTTACTCTAACTCTTTCTGGACATTGTTGTAAACTTTATCCCTTTGTTGTAAGTTGATTACAACTCCATTCCAAATTCGTGTTAATCGAATTTGCTCAGTTTGTAGTGCTTCCAAATCTGCCGTTCCTTCTGCAATAGTTCGTCGAAGGCTCTCTTGCTGTTGTATTTTTACTTCTCTCTGAGCTTTCAATTGCTCTCTCTTACTCTCTAAGCCCAGAACAGCTTGCCGCAATTTTAATAGAAGAATGTCCTGAAATTAAGCACTTGTTTTAGTACAAGGATGGCATTTTCCATTACCTAGTTTGTCCTTTCTTGAGATGCTTTGTTTTAACCTGCTTCTGCTTTTCTCTTGCCATTTCTTCTTTCTGCTTTTCACTCTTGTCTGCTATTCTTTGAGATATTGCAAGCTCAGAATTGTAATCTGATTCCCACTGTTTTAACTGCCATTCCACACTCTTAAGTATTTCTATCTCTAGTCGCATGTTTTCCTCTAAAAAAAATAAAAAATGATAATAAAAATAAATAACAAAGTGAGTGAACAAACTCATTTTTTTTTTAAAATTTACTTTTGTGACCAGAGAAGAAAAAAATTCTTACCCTGGGCATGTGCATGAGAAATCTTTTCCACTTCCTGTTTATGCAGATTTCTATTTTTTTTCAAGTCCTCCTCTATGCTTGCTCTTTTTTCTTCTAGCTCAGTCAATGACATTTTACACGATGATATCTGTTTCTGGCTTTGAGAGACTTCTTCTTGAATATTAAAGAGATTCACACCAAGGTCCTCTCTTTCTTTTGCCTTCATCTTTAAATTACTTTTCTGAAATTTAAAATAGAAAGTTATCTATTTGGTAAGCTCTTTAGATTGTACGTAAATTGAGATGAAATGTTATTACCAACTCGGCCACTTCTTGACTGAGCTTATTAAGTTGCTTTTTCAAGAGATCAGTTAAAGCTTGTTGGAATTTGATCATAAGTGGATTTTCAGGGTCTAGAACATGAGGGTTGTCTCCAATATCCCCTGTGCCATGACTTTGGCTTTTCATACTCTCTGGATTGTCTCTCTTTTGCATATTATCGTCAACTAAATATTCAGGATTACTCTCCACCAAATTTTCTTTTTCTGTGGTTGAGGTAGGTAAGCCAGCACCTATAGGATATTCTGGTTTACCAGACCCTTCATCATTTACAATATTATTCTCTTCTGCCAAGCCTAATGATTGTCTGGGGCTTTCCCTCTCTTCAGAATCCTCCAACTTTTGCTGTACAAAGTTTTCGGGCTGTATTTCATCGTGATCAGAGGAGTTTTGCAGCTCTGAATCGTCAGCCTGGCGTGAAGGAAGACATTCACTTTTGAAGTCCCTCTTTTCCTCCATCACTTAAAAATCTTCGTGCCCTTCTACTCTGGCCATGCAAGCACCTAGTTTTCCACAAAATGTTCAGAAGTGGAAGTGTCAAATTAAGTCACCATGACAACCACCTATGTATAAAACAAGACATCAAAATGATTTCAAAGCATAGGCAATTTTTTCAAAAAATGCTAATTTTACAAGGATAAATAAAATGATACCACAAAATAGTTCTCGAACCAAAACATTTTTTTTTAAATCATGATTTTATTTCACTTTTGTAGGTACCGCCAGGGTGTTGGTACTAGACGATACCAGTCTTATCAGACCATACGTACCATACGTTTCATCTAAACCACCTAAATAAATCTAGTTAAACGTGAAAGTATGATCAGGAATGTGTATTTGAGTAAAAATCAATTGCGGTAGAATGAAAAAACTCAGTTACCTAACGTTTTTTTAATGTTTTGTGCGTTTTCATAAACTCAAATGTTGGCAATATAAATAAATCGATAACAAAGGGGGTGGAGGAGCGAGTACTCTAACCTAAAAGATATCGAAGCGAGTAGCTGTCATGGCACGGCGAAGCAGCGTTCGTTCTGTTTACTGGAAATTGTTCTAATAAATTAATTATTGAACTTTCCAAGATGTCATCACTTTACGTGTGTAGAAATGGTTTAGACGGGTCGACCAGTATGAAATCAAACAGTTAGTATCTATCTCCTTTCCATGTATAATTTTATTCCGACGAGTGGCTGACGCCAGTTTTGATTTCCACCATTATTTTTTAGTCTTTCTATGTTTTCAGTCATGTTCTTTATTTTGTTGGTGTCTTCACATTAAATACCCTTCTTTGAAATTCTTTTCTATATTTTGCATGTACTTTTTCGGAATCATTAGCATCATAAAAAGTTTATGGAGCATAGTTGCTTTAACCTTAAAATTTTTCAAGAGCTAACCCGTCCCCATTGGTACCTGATTATTTGTTTACTCTTTTTTTATGCATCAACAGTATCTTTTTTGCATGGACTACGACACCATCAATTTATGTGTTATATTCCATTCACTACTTCAACTTACAATCTGTGACTGTTTTTGAGGGGTTTTTTTCCTCCTTTTAGGTACCTACCTAATCTAAATTTTGTTACTTCACTTATAATTTTCATATTTTTTGTATTTAGATACTCAACCTGTCATGGACAAGGCCAAGGAATGGCAAATGGAACTCCTTATGGAGAAGCTCCGTTCTAAAGCTGGACAGTACAAAACTTTTGGAGAAAGTGCTAAAATGTTACGGATGGCAGTATTGGTATGTTTCCTGACTTTTGATTCCTTTGACTTATGATACCAGAAATAAAGACCATTTAACTTGTTTGTGCATTGCAGGAAAAGAGGTACCCTGTTGATGGTGTTGAAAAAGTTCAACTGCAAAAATGTTTAGATACTTTACAAAGTTCCATCCGGGTCACTACCTTAAGTGGTATGGTAGAGCGTTTGGAAAGTGTTTCAAGGCAACTAGGGTAATTGTTTTTAGAATATTTTGCATGTCAACTAAATCAGAACAAATAAATCTATTTTCTAAAAACATAATTTCTTTGTTCCAGTCTTAAGTTTACTACAAGTGGTGGAATTGGATTAGAAGCATTTATATCTTCAGACATGTTTTATGTTGAAGTTGTTTTAGAACCTTCAGGGGGTGTGAAGGATGTTTCAATTCATCATGAAGGAAAGGATAAGGAACAGGTACACTTCATATTATAGCCTAATCAAAATACTGTTGATGCATTCTTAATGCTTATTGTATTATGGCTTCTGTATTCTAGAGCTGTGAAGAGTTAGTAAATTGCCTTCAGCAACAAGATTTCACTGACTTTGTCACTCAACTAGAAGGTCTAGCAAGTATTTACCAGTTAAATGCTGAAAAGGCTGTGAAATGTAATGCCCTCAGTGCATTACAATCTTTGGAGGCCGACCTCACAACACTGTCCTCACTCCAATCTTTCGATGCTCAAGCTATGTTGTGTAAATCTCCCGTTGGCATTCTTCTCAAGAGACGTGGTGGTAAGTAATATTCTTTTTGCTGAAAGCTGAGTTGTTTTTTATGAGAGGGGAGAGGAGTGTTGACAAATTTGTTGTTTTTTTTAGGACATGCAATGAGACTGACATATTGGGTGTCCCCATATGATTTATTAGACCAGAAAACAATGTCTGAGGTTGATATGACAGTCGAGCAAGTAAACAAACGAAACTTAGGCTACAGTGTAACAGTTTGCATGGAGGCATCAACTGCTCATAAGTTACAGATTGCACCCTTGATCACAACTCAAAGAGGGGCAAATGGCACAATGTATGTTTGACATTTGTTCCTAATAACTTATCTAGTTTCTTGTTAATATGTATCAGAATACTTTGCCTGCTGCTGTATTTTTATTTACCCATTTATACTTTTTTTTCTAGCATTCCAGTGTATAGTTCTCTCCAGGCACAAAACAGTGCTACTCTACCAGCATGTTATGCACTGCGGCTTCATGAACCCTTACCATTGTGTGTCGCCCTTGCTCGACGAATTCAACATGTAACTGATATGGAATGTGGGGATTTGTCTACCCCCCATCCTCTTTTGTCACTTATTACGCAGCATGCTTCTCGGGGACAGTTAGATTGTGCCAACAACAATGGACTCTATGTGGTAAATGCTAAAATATACAAATTTTTAAAGTTTTGGTGGGTTTTACATTGTTTCATTTTATTTAAATTCTCTCTCTGTTCTAGAATTTGCCAGATCAGACGCACTGTTATCGAATGACTGAAACAAAGGGGCTTGAGGCAGTGATGATCACAAGTATACCTTTCACACATCCCAAACAAGTTCCCCATATATTAGGATTGCTACGTCAACAGGCTGTCTTTAATTCTCTCATATCAAGTTGCATTCGTAATACTGTCAGCAGTCGACATGGTGGGTTTCCTGTATTTTGTTGTTCTTTGTTAATTAGACTGTGATTTAACGATTCTTTTTGTTATTTAATTGCTTTTTTCAGATTATGATGTTACTTTGCTGGAAGTGACGGCTCTATCTTGGCAACACCTTTCAGTTTCTCTTGAACATCCCCAAGAGGAAAGCATGACAACTGTAGAGTTTGATCTATCAGATCCTACCAGTGTTAAATGTAATTTGTTTGGTGCGGGATCATCACCAGGTCAGATTGTAACTGCTGAGTTTGCTGCCAAAGTTGTTCAAAGGTATTTAACAGATCTCAAATTTCTGTGTATTCTCATTGTTGATGTTTTGTAACCCTTTACTTCGTTCTGTGTAGGTGTATGTCAATTCCTGTCACAATGAGAAGTCTCATGAAACGTTGGCAAAGTCAGAGCTCGTCAAAAAACGGAATTTCTAATGGAAATGGAAATTTTAATTTACCACTAGGTAGTGGTGGTGGGGGTAATGGGGGAGGAGGCCACCATGATGACTCAAGCAGACATGGAATGTCTGAATTTAGTAACATGAGGGATCCACACATCAAAATGGAACCTCATGATAGCAGCTCAAATGACATGGGTGACTCAGCAAGTGGTTTCCCTTCTTTTCATAGCCCATTATTGGGGGACTTGACAAATGCATCTTCAATGAACTCTTTTCCTGGTAGTTCATCAATGATAAATCAGTCCAAGGAACCAGTTGTGATCAATTTAATGAGCGAAGCTGTGCCAAAGAAAAAAAATCGAAAGCGCAAAGTAATGGAAAGTCTTTGGCGTAGTCCCAAACATAAGGGTGATGAGTGTGAAATAATTGTAGAAAGCTCAAGTAATGAATCAACGCCACACGGAACTCCCACCTCCAGAGATGCACCAGCGGATTTTCGGATTCCGACCCCTACCTCTATTGATTACCCTCACTTAATGGAGGAAGGGAAGCCTGATCCGACTTCAGCCGATAAAGGACATTCAGATCTAGAGGGTATATCTGATGATGTGATGGAAATTCAAGAAATGGACAGTGTGGAAGAAATGTTAAAGGCAGTAAATGCTCGTAAAATCAAAAAACCAAGAGAGGAAAGGAAATCCCCTTCAGGAATAATGCTTGATATTGATGGCAAGAGTATGGTACCACCATCTGTAAGCATAACACCCATCAATTCTTCTTCCAGCTTATCTTCAAGTTTAAACTCTGTTTTGTCTGGTATGGGGCTTGAACGCAGACCTGGAATAGAGATTATTCCTATTGGCTCAACACCTCCAGCATCTCTTCCCAGTACAATTACTATCACCCCAATTCCACCATCAAAAAACTTGATGGATGATAGATCTCGGGACAGGAAAAGTAGAGACAAAGCAAGGTCTGAAGAAGAAGAGAAACGACTAGAAAAGAAAAGGAAGCGGAAAAGAGAGGACAGCCCTATGGGTCCTCCGGATAAACTTCCTCCCAAGCAGGATCCTCTCTCTAAGCCAGTTTCTGTGAGCATAAAGCCGACAGACAGTCCTCCTATGTCCATGTCAAGACCCTCCTCTCCAGCAGGAACTTTACGAAAGTTTAGCACATCTCCTACACATACCAGCCCTCTTGTTCTAATGAGCAAATCTGCTTCAAGTCCTGGAGGAATGAGCAAATCTTCTAAGCCTTCTCCGCAACAGAGCCCCAAACATTCGCCTGCTTATTCTACAAATTCTCCCAAACACAACCCCATCCCCTCCAGTGTAAGCCCTAAACATCATGGCACCTCATCTCCCAAGCATACGACTGGAAGCTCAGGAAAGCCAAGCATGTCAACTTTGAAGTCAGCAGCAAGCTCTCCCTCATCTGGTAAAACAAGCACTTCAGACCCAATGAAAGTGAAACCACCATCTTCAAGCAAGGACAGCAGCAGCAATAGGGACAAAGATCGGAGTAGGATGTCTTCATCAATGTCATCTTCGGTCAGTAGTGGTAGTAGTAGTAGTGGGGGATCAGGTGGTGTAAACAGCAGCAGTGGTGGGGGTGGGGGAAGTGGTAGTAGCTCTAGTGTCTCCAGTTCAGGACATCAAAGTCCAAAGTTAAAGTCATCAAGTATCAAGAAACAACCTGACTTTTCTATTGGTAGCGACACTACAGTTACACCAATTCCTCCACCCCCACCCCAAGCTATTAGTGGTCCATCTACTTCACCATCATCATCACAAGACTGTAAGCAGTCTACATCATCTGCCTTGCCCCAAATTCGGAACAGGAAGAACTCTCTTTCTGCTATAGTGGATAAACTCCACACATCGAAATCACAGCATACAACGTGTGATGATATAGCTGTGACAGTGACAAGTGGTGGTATAAGTACCAGTATTAGTAGTGCAAGCTCAGCAGGATTAGTGAGCTGTGACACTATTAGTAGTGCTGGTAATGGCAGCCGCGATCGCATTCCGACTCCAACTAAAGGAACAGAAATGAAAAGTGCTAGCAGTACTGGTAAACCTGGAGATCCTGGAAAAAACCCTGGCGAATACATGGTAAAACCAGGATCTGAAGGAATTAAGCTTACCATCAACAAAACTAGAGCGAAAGAGCCTTCTTCCAAATCGTCATCATCTTCATCCTCGTCTTCAGGCATCCCATCATCATCAGGGGTAGTTAAGTCGTCATCCCAGTGCGGTTCAGGCTCTCCAAAACTTCATACTGGTCACACTGGTCTTAAACCAGGAGTTAACAGTGGTCCAGCCTCTAAAAAACCTCAAAGTTCTTCATCCTCGTCTTCCTCATCACCTGGCCTTCCAAAACTGCAATCAAGTAGTAGTGGTGGTGGTGGTGGTAGTAGTGGTGGGAGCAGCAGTAGCAGTAGTAATAGTGGAAATTCATCCTCAAACTCTGGCCTTAAAACATCATCCACTCCTTCATCAAAGGTACCTTCCTCATCTGTCAGCTCATCGTCATCTTCGTCTCTTTCTAAGAGTAGTTCAAGTAGCACATCAAAATCTATCTCTAAATCAAGCTCTCCAAAATTGGGATCTTCAAGCTCAAGCTCTGATTCAAATCGTATAAGAGATAGTAGTAAACCACGTCCTCCCAAGAGCAGCAGCAGCAGTACTAGTAGTAGTGGTGGTGGCGGCGGCGGCGGTGGCGGTGGCGGCGGCAGCAACAGCGGCAGTACCAGCAGTAGTAGTAGTGACAAATCCATATTTAGTAGTAGCAAGGAATCAAGGAAATCTAGTCCTGCTCCACCACGGGATGAGGACAGTGAGCGAACATTTAAGGCTATCACAGGTCTGGAAAGTTTCGGTAAACAACTTGATACTAAGTTCCAAATTCCCAAATTATCTCATCGGTCTACTAACCCAGATTTGGATCAGAGCAAAAAGACGACTCCTGAGAAATCTGAAATACTTTCAGGCAACAGGAATATTGAATCAAACAAAGCTTTGGATCTAGTTAAACCAGAAGCTAAATATAGTACAAGCTCACCCATTCCATCTACATCGCCCTCGTTACCATCATCTAGTTTGTCTACTGGAATTACTGTTGTTCCCTCTTCCAAAACAGATGAGAAGCCAAGCAGTAGTCTGACAGAACCCAAAGCTTCCAAAGTGCCTTCTACCATTTCTTCAAGTCACTCATCATCCCCAAGCCCACGCTTGACTCCTTCCCCCCTCCCAAAACTGGATAGTAAAACTCCCACTGATGGTTCACCTATACCTGGTCTCACCATAACTCCTATTGGAAGCATTGCAAGTATTGGTGCAGGAGGTAGCTCCAGTAATGACTCAATGGACCTCTCAATTGATTTGAGTCGCACCCCTTTGGAAACTAAAAGTAATAAAAATGATATTCAGCGTGGTTCTGTGTCCATTGTTCCTTCATCATCCAAGGATGATTTGGGAATTAGATCGGGCAGTCCTTGTGACAGTATTTTGAAATCTGATAAGCCAAGAGATTTTTCCATGGTGGTAGATGATGCCAAAAAACTTGTTCTGGAAACTGCCCTAGCAAGAATGGAAGAGTCTCGCTCAACACCACCAACTGGGGCGTCACAAGACCCTACAGATGTTTTGTTGGACTTTTCTGGTGCAAAAGTACCACCACCAGAGCCCTCTGTCAGAAAGATGACAGTCACTGAGCGTGTAATGGCAGCTTTGCCTTCAAGAAGGAACACCACTCCTCCACCCCCTATGTTTCCAGCCTCTCCATCCCTTACAATGCATATTGTGAAATCCCCTTCATCATTGATGGGCCCTTCACCCCAGTCAGGTTCTCCTTGTATAACAGATGATGATCTAATGGATGAAGCATTGGTAGGCATGGGGAAGTAAAGACCCATATTATGGACTGTAAACTGGATATATATATTATATAAATATTTTTTCTAAACCTGATGTTTTGTTAATTTTGTAAATTGAGAGAAACTGGATCTCTATAACAAACTCTAGTATACTTCTTTTGTTAAGTGTGTGTTTATTGAATGAAGAGACAAGTGTTTCACCTGATCTCGCTGTTACTGCTTTCCACTATACTGTATGTTAATTGTTAATTGTATTTTTTTTTTCTTTTTCAATTCTTCAAAATCAACCCTGTTCATCCCCCTTCTTAATTTATTTTTATTCCATGCTATCTCACCAAGCAGAAATTTTGTGTGTGGTTCCATTTATACCGTATCAGCACAGTCTTCCTTGATTATTGTTGCTGAAGGTTTGTGATCATCTCTTAAACTATGTACGAAAAAGAAAAAGTAAATTTTTGTTAGTGTTTTTCCTATCTATGAATTCTGTGATTTTTGTCATCAATTTTCTGCACCAAAATTTCAAGGTTTTATTTTAAATATGACTGATTTTGTTTTTTTGATGGCTATTTTGCTTGACAATATAGTTAGACATTTTCTCCTTACATTAACTGGTCCTTTTCAAAGTTTGGCACTTTCTTAGCTTAATAGCTTTGTTTTAATTTTATTCTGTGCTCTCTGTTAAAGCTATTCAGTTCCCAGTGAAAGTGAAGTCTGTTCAAAACTAATGGGTCTTTTTTGGGAGGAAAAGGGGGGGGGGAGCTATGTTCATACCCATTATGTAAATTGCAGTGTAATTGACATCTCCATAGTGCATTGGCTCAATAATCTAAAGTTTTTCTCACTGTCAAAATTTAATCATTGCACCTTGTTAATACTTAATGTGGGTTGGGAAAGAGCCAAGGTCTTGTTTCACATTGTTACTAGCTATGTGAATGGTTAAAAATTTTGAGCTTAGCTGTAATTGTAATGGACATTATGTACATATAGAGTTTGTTGGTTCTTGTGTTATCAGTCTTACAATTTTTTAGTACTGTATATAAGAAAATGTCACACATTCGCAGTTGTGAGGGCCACCAAGGCTGCCTCTCTGCATTGGACGATATATATAAATATAATTTGTACAT